TACTTTAAAAATCTGCTTATATAATAAACACTATAAATGTAATTAAAAAATAAAACTATTAAATATGTTAAAAATAAAAAGTAATTAAAATGATATAAAAATAAAAATAAAAAATCCAACATCTCAGGACCACCCCTAAAATCTTATCTTTGATCCATGGGAGACGAGTGGACCCCCTACAAAGACCTTGTCATAAAACTACACATCGACAAAAGCTTCCTGAGTACTTTTCAAAGTTTGACAAAACAGATTTATCTCCCCTTAACGTTTACGTGCAGAGTTATGTATTTTAAAAAAATAAATAAAAATAATTTTAAAAATGTTTTATCAGCTAGGATATTTGAACCGACATTCAGGCGAGAAGGGGGTGAGGGGGGTGGAGGGGAGGCAAAATATGGGAAATGTCAGATTTGTAACGGATACCTGGAAATGAGAAATTACCGTCAGAGATCGCTTACACGACATGACAGAACGACTAGTGTCAGGACTCTACACGGGGTACGCTTATCCCCTGGCGTCACCATCGTGACACCCGGATGATGTCATGTGTGTGGGGCGGGCTGGGTAGGGTGGGAAAAATTTTCGTGTGAACGGCGTGTGACAGAAACGAAGCGGGGGACAATTAAGAAATTATGAGCTTGGATAATGCGAATTTGAAACCTCACAATGATAAGGGAGGTAATCATGATAATTACAAAATTGACTCATCCGTCAAGAGTTATCTCAAAGGGGGAAAAATGTTTCAGCCTAATTTTTGACAAAATAATGAATGAATTTTTAATCTTATTTTTTTTTGTTCTACAGAATAGTCTTCTACTTTTAAATTTCGCAAATTTTAATTCAAACTGTGTTGCAAAGTCAGTATATTGTATTAGGATCTTGATGAAATTGTGTTCTTGTTGGTGACGACATTAAGTTCTACGACTTCTAAATGGTGACACAATTGTGTTATGTGGGTGACATTGTGTTCTGATGGTGACACCATTGTGTTCTAGTGGGTAACACCATTGTGTTCTAGTTGGTGACATCATTGTGTTCTAGTTGGTGACACCATTGTGTTCTAGTTGGTGACACCATTGTGTTCTGATGGTGACACCATTGTGTTCTAGTTGGTGACACCATTGTGTTCTAGTTGGTGACACCATTGTGTTCTAGTTGGTGACACCATTATGTTCTGATGGTGACACCATTGTGTTCTAGTTGGTGACACCATTGTGTTCTAGTTGGTGACATCATTGTGTTCTAGTTGGTGACACCCTTGTATTCTGATGGTGACACCATTGTGGTATAGTTGGTGACACCATTGTGTTATAGTTGGTGACATAATTTTGTTCTAGTTGGTGACATCATTGTGTTCTGATGGTGACATCATTGTGTTCTGTTGATGACACCATTGTGTTCTAGTTGGTGACACCATGGTGTTCTAGTTGATGACACCATGGTGTTCTAGTTGGTGATACCATTGTGTTCTAGTTGGTGACATCATTGTGTTCTAGTTGGTGACATCATTGTGTTCTGATGGTGACATCATTGTGTTCTGTTGGTGACACCATTGTGTTCTAGTTGGTGACACCATGGTGTTCTAGTTGGTGACACCATTGTGTTCTAGTTGGTGACATCATTGTGTTCTAGTTGGTGACACCATTGTGTTCTAGTTGGTGACACCATTGTGTTCTGATGGTGACACCATTGTGTTCTAGTTGGTGACACCATTGTGTTCTAGTTGGTGACACCATTATGTTCTGATGGTGACACCATTGTGTTCTAGTTGGTGACACCATTGTGTTCTAGTTGGTGACATCATTGTGTTCTAGTTGGTGACACCCTTGTATTCTGATGGTGACACCATTGTGTTCTAGTTGGTGACATCATTGTGTTCTAGTTGGTGACATCATTGTGTTCTAGTTGGTGACACCCTTGTGTTCTGATGGTGACATCATTGTGTTCTGTTGGTGACACCATTGTGTTCTAGTTGGTGAAAACATTGTGTTCTGATGGTGACATCATTTTGTTATAGTTGGTGACACCATTGTGTTCAAGTTGGTGACATCATATTCTATTTTTGTAGCTGCTGTCATGAACGTGTGATATGTGTGTGCTTTAATGTGTGACCTTGAGCATTCAGCGCTCAAAACGGACCACACGGGCAATTGTCGAGCAGACAATTTAACAGACGTACACAAAAAAACATAATTAACATTTTAAAAAATCGTTTTCACGGAACAAATACAAGTAAACAAAAGGTTTTTTAAGCACAAAACCACCAAAAAATTATAAAATTAAAAAAATAATGCATGCAGATTTTTAATCAGGCTTCCCATCTGCTGTTGTCTAAAACAATAATGTTATGCAGCAGAAATCACCTGCTTTTAAACTGTGAATAGAGATTTTAAAATCGCAGGAAAAAATATTTTTCAGCCTATGCAAAGTTAACCGCATTATTAAACGTTGACATCCAAATGTAAACAATCACATCCCGTCTTTAAAAAAATATCTTTAAAACTTTACTGTTTTTTTTTTTTCTTTCCTAAAAAATCTAGCCTAGTATTGTCCCTTGATTGACGTGAACGTTGGTGAATACGAGATTTTTAATTTTTTTTATACTTCTCTCCCCTGAAAAGCCAGCTGACGGAGAAGATTAACCGACAGACAGTTCGCGCTTTGATACTGGCGTCGCGCAGGTAAAATGGCGCGCTAATGACATCATGAATCAGGACATCAAAGAGTGGCTTCCCTTCGCGATACCATCGATACAGTCCGTCCATAGCCTTCACGCTGTATGCCGTCGAGATTTATCGCGCGAGCCGACAGCCGGCGAAGGGGAGATAAACGCGATAATAAAGGTACCGATCTCACGTTGGAGTTATCGCCCGATCGCTCCGCGGAGAAGCGACATTGTCTGGCGATCTATTTTCTTTTTAATGACGCAGTATACCCCGCGGTGAATGATTTATTTAAATTAGCACGCGCTTTTAACTTGACGGCCCCCTTTGTAAAATCTCTACATTTCTAAGCACGAAGGTTTTTATGCTCCGTGACTAATTTGAACCCAGCGTAAACGGTCGCGATCGTGCTACGTCACACTGCGATACAGCTATGTAGCCTAGTGCTACCTTTTAGTGTTTCCCACATGTTATTTCCACACAGTTTTTAAAAAGAAATTTTAAACCTTAAATTTTTTTACAACAAAGCTCCGTCCCCTCCACAACACCCCACCCCCGGGTCATATTACGTCACGTTGAAGTTCATAAAAATAACTAACCCCCTCCTGCCTGTCAACATTTATTAAATAATGTGTTCATCATAGTGCTTGTAACTTAATACAACACAACTGTCTGGCTTTATTATTATGTCTGGGCAGTGGCGTCACGCGTAGGGGGGCAGTGGGGGCGAACACCACCGGGCGTCACACAAAGTAATGACACTGAGCAGGACGATTGTGTTGGATACATTAAAAAAACTGACGGTGAATAATGGGTTTTGAGTTTTATTTTCCTAAATATTAAATGTCACATTCTGGAAAAAAAAACTCTCTTATAACTACCCACAAACAAAACTGCCAATATCCCCTCTCCACTACCACTTTATATAAAGCTTAAAAACTACTCTCAGTAGATGGAAATATTACGTTATCATATTTCGGTTTTTTTTAATTAATAAATTATAATTATATACATGTGGATGGGATGTTGAAATCCGCAACTTTCAGTCTGATTTCTTATTCCCCCCCCCCCCCACCCCCCCCCCCCCCTATTCCTGGATATGCTACCATTTTCCGTACCGTTTGTCAGCCAGCAGATCACCCATCATGGCTGATACTCCGCGGAGCAGCTGTCAAATCTGACGCAACATCTGCCGTATTATGAGCTAGTCGCGCGGAAGATATCGTAGCGGCCTGTCTGGTTGATCGAATTTCGAAATCAATATCGCAGATCAAGTTCGGCTGGTGTGTTGTTGGGAGTGATGACATCTGGCAAGTACATGACGTGTATGTGGTATTGACATATGTCATGCATGAGTTATGTGCATACGGTTAGATATAGATCTAGTATTCCGCCATGATAAAGTTACAAAAAACGACTGTGTGTGTGACACGACGCTAGTAGATGCAGAGATCTATTGCATATCAAGATGTATGATAAGAACCACGTCTATCATTGGCAGTAATTTAATGGGGAATACAACATGGTTTTTGATGACCATAGGAAAGATTTGCAAATGGCTTAATAATAGTGTCTGATTTCTTCAGACCTTGAGGCTTAGGGCCAACATTTTATTTCATACACCCGAATATTACAGTAAATCACGAGCCACGGTTATGCCATGCTTTACAGTAAGCTTGACTGTGTATTACAGGTAGACAGACCATGTTTTAATGAACGCTAGGCCATATTTTACAATAGGCTAGGCCATGATTTACAGCAAGCCAGGACACTCTTTACTGTAATCTAGACAATGCTTTACAGCAAGTTATGTCATAATTTACTGTAAGTAAGCTAGAACTGAAGCTGGACCCTTTTTTTTACTGTAAACCATGGCTAGCTGAGTACTAGCCATATTGTTTTCATCAGTGATACATACATAGTACCAAAAAAAGTATGGTAGTAAATATATATCAACATCCCCTTTAAGGATTGTGTATGCACAATGTAGTAGGCGGTGCTTGTTGCATCAAACAAAATGACTGCATACCAGGTTTACAATAGTGTATAGTGGTAGATATTAACTTTAACACTACTCGTAGGCCTGCTGCTGCACTTTTTTACAAAGTCCTATTGTGTTATTTGAAACAATATCCATGCTGCTGTTTGATAAGACAAAATAAGCTATAAATAGCATTAAAATTGTAAGTGGACAAGGAAATTTAGGGGCAGTAATTTTAAAAAGAAATACCTTTCTTGTCTCCCCTACAAGTCGTTCCCCCCCCCCCCCCCCCCCCTCCCCAAGACACCAAACATTAAAAATGTGTAAACAAATAACACATCAATCAAATACCTAGTCAACAAATCTTTTAATGTTGAATCAATGTACATTTTAATCAATCAACTTCAAGGAATTTGTTTTAAAATTGAGCTTTTGAAATTTTTTTTTTCAGCCTCTCCAAGCAACAAAAGACAGTACCCACTCAAGTGATAATGCAATGTTTATTTTTTCAAGCAATTTTGTTTTAAGCTAGATTTTTTTCAATGATGGTGTAACAATATGTACAACACATGCCTACAGATGCTTTATATAAATACATGGAATAGATGAATGGGCGTATGGAGCTACAGAGTCAACAAGTGGACAAGCTGAGACTACTCTAGTATGGAGATGTGATCACACAACAAACATCATCAAACTCCTAGACCTGCAATACTCGACACCATGACGTGTTGAGTAAAATACATGGGATGTCAGGATATAAATGTATCAAATGTAATGCAGATACACTTGGTATAAATATAGTAGAAGAAAAATGAAGCTTTAATCCCATTTAAACATGTCTTTCAACCCCTGTAAACCAGTTGGTAGTAGCTTACAAGCCCCTTGTCCAGAGTAACACAAAAATATATTGAGATAAAAATTCAAGTTCCATTACTGATTAAAAAAAGAACAATTTATTTACAAGAAAAATGTATGTTTGAAGGTGAAGCAATGAAATCTATGTACAAATGGGAAGCATAAAGTAGTCTACATATGGGGGACTCATGTTAACAAAGTTAGTGATATAAATTCATTTGGAAACTACTAAAACAAGCACCCCTGATACACAAATTATTGAACTTACAACATATAAACCTTTTAAGTATAAGGAGTAGTTTTAACTAGATAAAATAAAAATTATGAACTAAAAATGTATTTTACTAATAAACAGATATATCTAAATGTTCTTTGAACAGAGGTAAAAACAAAGTGTAAAATATAGCGAATGAACCTCTATTTTGTGTTAGGGAAAATATGAAATCTAAAAGTCTAGCAGATCTGAGCAAAGAGTAAGTATTAAGCTGAGCAAAATGAAATAGAAAATGGTAAATGCAAACAAAATCATATAGAGATAGAAGTCTATTGCGTTCACTATCCATGAAATGGTATATGTAGAATATGGCTGGCTGTCAATAAAAATCCAATAAAAATCAATTACCGAAAACCAATATAAAGTGATTACCAAAAATTCAATTATAAAGTATTTCCAAGTGCGAGTATAATTACCAAAGATTAATATAACTATAAGCAATCAATTCAAGAAACAAAAAATATCTTTGAATACATTCAATTTGGGCAAAACAAAATCATGTATTAAATACTACACTGAATTCGCCCACATTTAAAATAAACAGGATGAAAATCATTGCTTAATTAAGATGGCCAGAGATAAAATATTACAAGGAGGACAGTAGAGAAAAAATACAAACTAAAACCTAGGACATTGCAAGACAAAGGGAGATTATAAATCAAATTTGGCTGGGAGTGAATATGATTAATAATCTGTGTTATGAGAAGAAACTTACTTAATATTTGGTCAATATACACAATTTTAAAAATGTATAAACCTGTAGTAGTTAACATCAAAATGAAAAAAGAAACAAGACAAAAAATTGTAAATTTTAACAAGTTATTCAAATTTCCAAACAAAACTTGTTTTTTTTTAAACTTTCCTTTAAGCTTACTCAGAGGAAGATTCTCAAGGGATAACTCAACATTCAAACTCCCTACAGAATCGAAATATAAGCACAACATGATTTTAGGGTTTAATATCACGCATTTTCCAAAACTTCAATAACCTTCGTGATGCCATTAACATCTGTGCTGCCAAACGCAGTCTGGGGAAAAAAAAGATAGTTTAAAAACTGCTTCTGTATTTATAATAATAGAAAAATGTGAGAAATAGGGAAGAGATCATTTTAAAATATGCAATGAACTGTCATTTTAATAATGGAGAGAAAATTTCGCAAATTTCCTAACCATAATACTTTTAAAATATTTACATGTAATTAAAATAGGTTTTAAAGGAAAATAGTTTTATTTTAGTTAGTTACATGAAAGTCAAAGCCCTGAGTGGATTAAATGGATTTAATGTTGCTAAATAGAGTCCCCATAATTTAAAAAATATATTTTTATCATAAAAAAAATAAAAAATTGACTGCTAATGATAGAACTATCAAAAAACAAATTAAATTTATTTATTTTAAGCTAGTATTTTTACAACTGATAATAACATTACTATGCAAAAGTAAATGTACATTTCAGATGTATTGACAGTATCATATAAAAAAAAACCCTCTGGTAAATTATTAAAAGACAAAAATCTGTTAAGCTAGTCTGAAAAAATTAATGTTTTTTGCATGGGGTAAAAGCTGCGGAAGATAATTTAAAAGCTGTCAAAAGAGTTCTCTAGTACTTACAGTTAAGCTCATGAAGTTGAGGAATTTCTTCAACATTTTAACCATGGGACCAAAGTCTTCATTTGGAATGAGTTTCTTTACTGTTGCAGCATACTCCTAGGAAAAGGTACAAAATGTGTCACATTATGTCATGGTCTTAGACCAGAGACTACAACCAACATCAAAAAGTATCCACTTAAAACAATACTCATATCTATCCTAGTTAAAAAAGACTGACTGACTACAGTTATATCTAATTATCTCCACTGAGTCCTTAAGTACAGTTGGAAGTTCACAACTAGACTAGCTTAGAACATCTCTTTTTATAGTTGTGAACCTATTCCAGAACAAAGGTGGTATAAATGCTCAAGGACATGCAGATATTTTAACACTTAGGCTTATCATTAAAGATTACCATGTTATCAATGATGGTTGTCCCTAGCAAAAGCCCTGCATATGATGCCACAATGCTGTTCTCCATGTGCTTTCCAGCTTTATGAAGGGCTACAGAATAAATTATTTCTTTAGTAGCTCTAACATTCAAGAAACATTTAAAAAATTATTCGTTAATTATTTTTTATCTTGATTACCTTTAAAGATAGGTGAACAATATTGAAACCTACAATTCAACTAGATAAAAAATGCTACCTTTGGTAAATGTTTCTTCATCATCCTCCAGGATACTCTGGTTGGCCTCATCCCCCTCTGTGTTCTCATCCTTGACAGTTCCTGAGTTTTTCATTAGCTTTTCTTCTTCTTCCTTAGCTTTCTTCAGATTGTTTGTGATCCACTGAATACCTGAGTCAGACTCCTTCCACTCCCCACTCTTGTTGGGGGAGTCGGCCATGGAGGTCTCTGGTGTCCCTTCAGTATCTTCTTCCATTTCACGAGCTGCATGTTCTCTTTGGACAAACAGCTGGAAACATACATTACAATTGGATGAATAAACTTAAGACTTAAAAGACATCAGAACATTGATTTTTTTATACAATTAACATGAAACTCTTAAAATTTAAAACTATTCCCCAATTTCTCCACCACGTTCGTAAAGAGCATTTCATATATTGAGATACCATTAAATCCAATTTCACCAAACAGTTCCATCAAATATTTTGATTATAAAAGTCTGCCCCTCAGTGTTTAACTAAAGTGAATAAAAACTGTAAGCCATACGAACAAAGAGAAGACTGTACGGTATATTTCTATGGTACAAGTTAAGAGACATTACTTACCTCTACAACAGCTTTAATGGCACTCATTGTTTTAGACTGTGATCTCTCAGTGTATTTCACCTGTGTTTCCATCTTCATCATGATCTCACGATTTGTCTTCCTGTTCTCTACCATGTTGATCAATAACCCCAGACACTGTCCAACAGAAGAAAACATCAGCTATGAACAAGTCTACAAATGGCAGTCATCAGCACAGTAAGATAGAGATGGTTGAGTCATGGACACCACACAGCAAGAGAAAACAAGCAAGGCCAATAGAAACAATTTTTCAGAAGATCAATGATAAAGAACAATGGAAGGAGAGTTGCCTAATTTTCCAACAGGCAGAGGTTTTAGCTAGAGACAGGTCACTCAGTTATTGGTGCATTGTGTGACCACTCAAAGATCAAAGAAAGATATTAGATAAAAGAGAACTTCACCACAGACTTGATGTATTTGAATTGATAGCTTAACTCTACTGCAACTGTCATAGAAACCATCAAGTACTTTGCTAATGAGCAAAAATGTAACAGACTACAAACAAAAATTTCATTTCTTTCTCATGCTGAGAAAGTATTTTCCAGGTAAAAAGAAAGCTCAAGGAATAAAATAATTACAATTATTTAAATTTAAAAAAAAATTTCAAACAAAGTTTTCTTTAAAGTGAAAAACTTAAAATTCCTAAAAAAAACAAAACAAAAACCAACAAGTTGTATCTGGTAGTGAGACAAGTGAGTTATGTAAAGCCAGCGTACCAAGATAGCCATGTCAAACCTCTGTTCCACAGGGATACACCATTGGGTTGTGGTTAGACATTTCAGTATGGTTTCCATCAGCAGTGTTTCACTAGCAGGATCTAGATCACCAAGTTCTAGGAAAGAAAAAATAAGTTGTAAAAAACTTACATGTCAATAGAGTATTTCTCTCGACATAACAACTATTTTCTTAAAATACAGGACATTAAAAGAATTTAAGCTAAAAAAGAAAATGAACAAATATTTTTAAAAATGTTCACTTATTATAGAGGCATTTTGTAATGCACTGAGATTGTTCTATGTCAAAATTGCTCAAAGAACTAGTCATAAATAAGGAAGGATAAGGGCTAGACGATGGATCTAGCAGAGATTATCAAACACATCCTGCTGACATAGTAGCACACTTCTGAGGGTAAGCTAAACTTACTGTGTTCATGAGTGACATTCAACAACACCCTAAGAACTGCAAGCATACACACTAAAACGGTGTAGCCGGGTAAATCTTTCAATGCTTTGTTAGTTTCTGTGTTGTCATGTAGTGCATATGTTGGCATGCACTGCTGACAAAGCAAGAGTGTTCTGCAGATAGTTTAAAATATTACATTTATAGTCGTATAAACATACGTAGAAATTTGAAGAACTTTTTTTTAAAAATAGAAGCGCATAACAACAAATGTATTTAAATATAGCAAGTCAACGGAGAGAGTATTCATTACTGACCTGGTACATGACTGAAGGAGAGAAGCATTTTTATAAGCAATCAAATAATTTTGGTTGTCAGAGTTCATAAAGCTGATCTAAAAATAAGATAAGACAACAGGATATTAAAATGTGGTACAATTTTACATGAGTTAAGATTTTTTAACAGAGTAAACATTTTAAACATCACTTTAAAAAAAACAGTTCACCAATTTGATTAACTAGGGTCTTACATTTTCCAATACTCGTAAACATCTGTCTAGTTTCCTCAAAACTGGCAGTGAAGTTTGTATCTGTTTAGTGAGGTCATTAGGAAGGTTCTTTTCACAGGCATTCACTGATTAGAGATGATAGAAAACACATGCAAGTCAGAAGTTAGATGGTGGCATTAAGTTGAAACTGTATTTTCAAATTTTTATTAAACATAGCAAAAATCAAATTTAAATATTTGTAGAAATTATATTCATTTGTATTACTTTACTGAAATGTATTCATAAATGTATGACAAATTAAACAGCACAACTTTTTTTTATTGTATTTAGCAATAAAACAAAGCTTAAAAAATTAGATTCACTTAGTTGGGCTTTCTATTAAATAAGTAAAACAGAGTTATGCTTCTTTGTTTAAGCCAACTGGAAATGTGTTTGTTTTTACTTTCTCGTATATACGAAGTATAGAGAAAGTATTGTAATCGTGCAAAAAAAAAATATATATATAAATCTCGACGTTTTACATCTCACTGATATGGAAAAACATAATTTTGCAATCTTGTACATATGTCTGTGTGTCTGTCTGTGTGTCTGTGTGTGTGTAAACACGATAACTTGAGTACCGTTACAGCTAGGTTAATGAAATTTCATATATAAGTATTTTATCAAAATCGTAGATCCGTATCAACTTTTGAGCGATTTCTGATAACCGGAAGTGGTACTTTTCCTACTTTGAAATTTTCAAAAGCCTATAACTTGAGTACTATTTCAGATAGATAAACGAACTTTCACATGTAAGTAAAAGATCTAAATCTCTACCTTCTGTTAAATTTTGAGTCATTTCCGTTGAACGGAAGTAATAATTTACGCTACTTCCGTTTTCTCAAAAAACTAATGTAAATTTTTAAAGTACTAATAATATTGCGCACTATTATGCACTTTTTTATTTAGCGTTCACTTGGTGTGCAATTCTTTTGTCTACGAGATTTTATTTTATTCTTAAAACTTTAAGTATTTAAAATGGATTAAAAATCATGTCTATAGCCCGAGTTCCCATCCCGGTTTATTTAAAATGGCCAATGTGAAAAAAGGCCTTTGTGTCTACTGTTGTTAACATTACTAATTAAATAAATTGAAATACCCATGAAGATTTTTATAAACTAGACTTACCAGAATCAACAATGTGATCAAGGCCTCCAACAGAACGCAGCTCCTCTTTGAACCACTCACCAGCCCTTCTTGAGGTTAAACTTAGTAATGATTCCATTGCTAGGTTGCCAGTCTGTACAGCAAATAAACAAAAAATTAAACAGTAGCTCAGTACAATAATAATTATCTATTTTTTATTATGGGTACAAAAAATAAAAGCTGACCCATGTAATATAAAAACACTCACAGATACAAATCCCAAGTCAATTTCTCTGGCATGTGTCTCTTGTTGCAACTGGGCCAGCAGCTCCTGCACTCGCTGTTTGGTTTTTTCCAGGTGGCTGAGGGTAGAGGCAGTAGCTTTGTCTAATGCATCAACTTCATTCAACTTGAGCATCAGATTTAGGCTGTCTTTGTCCAGGTCCATGTTCAGACGGTCTCGACTCAGCATGAACATTATTGCTGATGTACTCAAAGCCAAACACTAGCAGAGCAGGAAAATTTACACTTGGATAATGAGCTTATGACCAAACACTTTCTACATTTAGCCAAAAACTTTCTAATTTTAATCACTGAGTTAGGTAACCATGTTAAACAAAAAATAAAAAATATTGAGCTTACAGGATCAGAGCAGGCATCACGGAGTAGACTAAATATTTTAGTCACAGTCCCATGGGCACGAATGTGCATTCTAAAAGCTGGTGAAATGCATTTTCCAGCTAAAGTCAAACAACTGGGGGAAAAAAAAACAAGTTTAAAATAAATTGTTAACTTTTTAAACTTTCTTACTTTTTAATGAGTCAAAAACTTCACTACCTAAGGCAGCGTTCAGAAATGGACTTTGTGTTCTGTAAACTTCCAAGGAGATAATCCACATCATCCATAAAGTCCTGGGCCTCCCCTAGCTCCTGTACCTCATGTGTTTGTTTCACATTGTGAACCACAGTGTAGAGCTGGGAAATAGTTACATTATTATATTAACACACTGTACAGTCATTATTAATTTCACTTAATCTCACTTTTGATAAAAAATTTATTTATCTATATTCAGATACAAAAGAAGTAGAGTACAAAACTGATATTTATTTGCATAATATATGCTGAAATTTTAACTAAAATATCTAAAGAACAACCTAACAACATACTCACATACAACCTTTTAGTAAATATTGATTACATTTACCATTTGTTAAACACATTTGAAAAAAAAAAATTGAACAAAAATAACCTGGCACTAAAATGATGTGTTTAAATATTAAAAACTTATTTTGATTAATTAATAAATAGCAATGAAAATTAATGAGAACTTTTAATAATAGCCAAGAAGAGAGATGGAGGTAGAATCACATAAGTTTTGTTTTAGCATCTATAACCGTAACATTTATTTTTAAAAAATCTTTCTTACATAACATGATATGACTTAAACCATTACAAAAAACTATAATTAGGAGAAATGATTAGTCAGACAAATAAAGAAACCTTAGGAACCCTTGGAATTAAGAAATATGGCAACATTCACATAGAAAACAGTATATAGAGAAAAAGTCATTCATAGAAAGACTTTCTTACTTAAGAACATAGTATAAGTAAAATGACATTACATTATTAAACGAAATTATCTTAAGGAGAAATGTTTAGTTGTACGAATGAAGCAACCTCAAGAACTCTGTTGTAACGAACTATAACATTTAAATATGTTAACAGTGAATAAAAGTTATTCTTAGATGATTGAGAAAGCTTTTTTAAACACGATATAACTGAAATTATTATTAAACAAAACTATCATTAGCAGTAATAATTTGTCGGACAAATGAAGCAATTTCAGGGACTCAGTCTTAGAAATATGACAACAGTAAATAAGGAAAATAGTTATGCATAGAAAGAATGAAACGGGTGAACGCTAAAATCCTTGAAATGACCAATACCTCCTTATGAGTTTTGCTAACTCTGAGAGAAGTGTAGGCTTCTTCGTGCTGTCCTTCTGGCCAATGTACTTCTCTCTTCAACTTTGGACCCCTACTGGAATCTTTTATTAGCACAATATCATCTTCTTTCTCTACATTTTTACTGCCACTTTTTACTGATGATTCCTGTAGTTTTTGAGTGTGTTTAAAACCAATATTTTAAGGTAGAAATAATTTAGAATGAACATTTCCAAATAACACATTAAATTTGTTAAATTTTCAATTAAAAAAATAAGCAAAAATAATATAAATGAACAATAATTATTTAAGCAATAAGGAGAGAAATTAAATAAAGTAAGCTGAATTCTATCCAATGTCTGCCTAGATCCTGATGAAACTAAAAAAAGAACAACTCTACTGCTATCAGGTTACAAATATGGGATTGCTGTAACTAGATCTTCTGGCTGATGAGATTAGATTTTATTGATTGGGTTCCAAGGTAAATAAACAAGATCTTACCTCCCTTTCCTCCTGCTCATGCTCTTTGTACCAGGAACGTGCATTATAAGTTGCTTTAGCAGGTGACTGAAAATAGTTGTACATTCAACTAATTAAAACAATTATCTTAATTTTTAAATATTTATATTTCACATGGTGAAATTTTACAAATTAATTTATAAATTTCATTGAAAAAAAAGAAATAAACATACAAGTCATGATAATTAAGTTTAAAAAACAACTTACCCCTTTATGTGGGCTGCCACCAAGTAGCTTCCTCTGTAGATCAGATGAATTAGATAAAGATTTTTTTGATTTGAAAAATTTTCTTGGAGCACTAGTCACATCCTTCTGGCTGCTTTCTGACGTCGTTTGGCTGTTTGAAGGAGATTCTAGAGACTGAAGGTTCTCTGAGCATTCAGACAAATTGTCTGGTTCCCCAGTAGAATCGGAATCTTGACCCTTGTCCAGGTTGCGAAGACGAGCTGCCAGAAGTTCCCTTGCTGCTAAAGGATCTTTCTGCTTGACATCAGTGTGATCATTATCATCAACAACAGTAGAAGAGCCTTGTGAGGCTTTTATTTCTTCTAAATCCATTTCCATATCAACATACATTAATTTTAAATCTTCTGATGAATCTTGTGTTTCTTCTTCCATTCCCTCATCCTCCTCATCCCCTTTAAACACAGGAGGCTTCAGATACTCTTCGACCTGCGGTTTACGTGATTTGAATATTCTGTAGGATTTCCCTTGGCCAGATGCATTGTCAGCTGTAGCCTGAGATAGAGCAGAGTCAGTATTCAAGTTTTTTGCACCTTGAGAAACTCTCTTCACAGCTGCTGATGGTCCTTCCGAGTTAGCTGCCACAATCTTCGTAGAGGATCGTGTGGTGTACACCACACGTTCTGAGCCAGCAGATGTGTCTGCTTCTCCATTCTCACTAACAGTATCCTGCGAGGTCGAGACATCCGAAGTAGCACAATCTGTTTGCTGCCGATCTGCATAATTCTTGCTTGATCCTCTCCCCAAGTCTGTGTCAACTTTAGTCTTGGCATTAGACTTACCTTGTTGATTAGGTGAATCTAATGACTCTTGAATGGCTTGGAGGTGAGCAGCAACAGTTGTCAGTGCTCCAGAGGAATCTACCTGTTCATTATTAACACCTAACTCAACATGTGCACTTTCTAAAGACAATGAAGGCGATTCAATTCCAATTTCAACATAGACCACCTTCTCATCATCTGTCATGGACAGTTCCTGAGTTCCACCTGCCTCTTGCTCGCTGGCACTAACAGAAAACTCCATCACCTCATCCTCTTCATCACCTTTAAACACAGGTGGCTTTAGGTATTCCTCAACTTGAGGTGTACGTGATTTAAATATTCTGTAGCGCTTGCTTTGCCCGGGAGTTGAAGTGTCTGATGAAGCAGGAGAATTAAATGACTGAGATGAGGCAGAATCGGTGTTCAAGCTTTTACCACCTTGGGCTGCTCGTTTGTGAGCGGTCGCTGTGGAGGAAGGGGAGGAAACACTGCTCTGTGAGGATGGCTCAGAATCAGCTGCCAGGTGTGAAACAATTTTAACAGAACCATAAGAAACACTTTCTAAATTAACAGGGGTAGATGTTGTACTTCCGTTCTCCCCAACGCTATCCTGAGAAGAAACATCAGAAGCAACAGCTTTCGCTTTGGCATTCTTTGCTGCATTTTTGGCTTCATTTTTTTCAAGTTGTGATTTTGGTTTGCAAACAACTACAACGGTGGTACCTTGGTCTTCATTGGCCATTTCTTGTTTAGATACCACCATCGAGTTGTTTAGTCCGCCTGTCGCTGTATCTGGTTTTCCTTTCAGCTGTTGAGCTGCGTAATTTCTTTTGTATTCTTCTATCAAATCAGGGTCGGACACAGTCAGAGGTTTTCTCCCTCTCGGCCCACCCTTTCTTTTATAGTTAGACTTCCTTCGTGGAGGTGAATCTGGCTTGTCAATGGGCGTAACAACTTCACCTGAGTAAGTTTTAAGTGGGTCTCTTTTAAACTGGACAGGAAACAACTCATCATCTTCATCCTTCACCTCCACCTGGGCATCTGTGAACATCTCTTGCTTGAGATTAGACTTTGAATCGGTGAAAAAAAATGTTTCGCCAGTAGCTGAAACTTCTGTCTTGCCCACTTCTATAAACTGATCCATAATGATCGGCTTTTTTGGGGATGTTCTTGTATAGGTGCGGAACGAGGCTGCTTTCCCTTCTTGTTTAGTCACAACAGGTTCGTCCATACTGATATCAATAACTTCGTCACTAACAAGTATCCTTGAGGCAGGAAGTTTTGTCGAATGTTTTACATCTGGCTGTGGTGCAGGAACCTGTTTCTTGACAGGACTTAACTTCCTTTTGTCTTCTGTTTCAAAGCTGAAGGGATCTTCTGCCTTCACTTCCAGCTTCACCTTCTTGGCGTCAGAGCTGCCGTCCGTGCCTTCACGCAGGGGAACATAGTTATAGTTAGTCTTTCCCCATTTTGATATTGACATTGCTGCCTTTAGTGGAGTCTTACTGTCAGCTGCTTCATCGATTGTTTTATTTGCTGGCTTTTGTTTTGACCGGCTGTAAGTGCGGCCAGCAAACCGTGGGGGTGGTGCGTCTTCTTCACTCATTGTTCAGACCTACAAGTTAAAGGTGAATATTTCAATTTATGTTTAAAACAATGATCAAATTTTATGAATAAATTTCATTTATACTGGATATAATTAAAGCTAATATAGATACAAGCTAATAATGCCCTTTAGGCAAACAGTATTGGTGTCTAAATTATTCAGTTGATAGCATATGTAAAGCTCTACACATGCTACAAAAATTGATTTGCTTGATGTAAAGCACATTGTATCACAATGAAAATTTAAATCCAAACCCTTGTAAACCTATACCTTTATATTCATAAAGATGATAATATTGATTGACGGATACATTTTTTTTAGGCAAGTATCCTTTTAGCCAGTAGATCAGTTTTAATTTAATACAATAAAAAAAGGAATGCAGCTTATAGACAGTGACTTCATGTAATTAAGAGTATACGTTATCATTCTAAATTAACGTTAACAAACTTGCATCAATAATAAAAATTGACAATAAATAAAATAAGCCTTAATAATAAAACTAGACTGGTGCTAATGTTATGGTTCTAAAAGATTCATTACTTTTGTTTAAAAGCATTTGAAATCTTTCACATAAAACTGATCCCATAAAGTGGAATTCTCGGTAAATATTGGATCTTCTGCTGTAAAGTTCTTTGATAAATAGTAAAAATTAAATTAAAACCTAATATATTTTATATTCCTAATTTGTGTTTTGGATTTGTTTGTGGGGACAATTGTTACTTTTTTTTTTAGGATTCTTACTGTTAAATAGTTAAGGAATATGATTTAGAATAGAGATTTAACATTTACAAGAGAGACATCTCAATGGTATCAAAGATACTGGTATATTTTCTTTGTCCACCTTGTAAGTACAGCTTTAATTATTTTATTTTAGTATCTTAAGATGCAGGCCTACCCTACATATATTCTTTAAACAGAGGCAATTTTTAAAAAACAACTGCATATTAACATGTTAATGTATAGGTATATTTCTATTACCACGCTTTGTACAATACAAATAGTTGCTTTGTACAATACAAATAGTTCGTAATGGCTAGTTAATAATGAATAGAATTAGATAATTTTTGAAAATACTAAAAGATATTTTTTTAAAAATAACAGGGTTTTCACACTGTCTTTAGACTATAGACATATGTCATACTAAAAATTCCAGACCTAATAAAAGCTATAATTGCTATAAATCTTTTTTACAGTAAGCCTCATTATAAATTTATAAACTACAAATAGTGTTAACTAATGATTTTACCATTACATTACGGTATTTCATTCTTTCTCTGTTCAATAATTTCAATAAAATAAATTTAAATATGCAGGAGTTAAATATAAATAAAACAAATCTAAAAAAAACTTTCTAATAGCAAGCTTTTGAATGCACTGAAAATAAGAAAATAAAACTAACTTGTTTCTTGCATGAAAGCTTTGGTTACTCATGAGATCTTTTACATATTTTAGCAACCAAAACTATTATGAAAGAACGCCCCTAATAGCCTTTACAAGATAGACCGTCTCTTGGATCATAAACATTCTCATGAACCACAGCTCACCAACCTGTTAGGGTGGTTGCGTCTAGCTATTCTGTTATTGAATATAGTAATCTATCAAGTGGTTTAATGATGGTAAAATAAATATATAGTAATTTCTTAAATACCCCTAAAATTAGGCTTAACATTTTAAACATTTTGTAGGCCCTATACATTTTTAAAACAGGCTAGAGTTCAAAGAACTTAGACCCAAGACTTAGGCCTAATGTTTTTAAAAAATAACAATCGTAAAAACATTTTTTCCAGGTTTAAAAGCATTTTTTGAGAGAAATTTTTTTCAAAATTGTCAAACTTAAATTTTCAAAATTTCATTCTAAACCTTTAAGATAGGACTTATTTTTTGGGGTTGAGATCTATTGCACTAAAAATGTATCTTTTATGTGGAGACTGACAAGAAAAACCTGTATTTCAAAATTTAAAATAAAACTTAACCTATCATTTTTTCAAATTGTTTCAGTTTATTCTGGCATAGGACAGAAGAGCATTCATTTCTATATAGGGCCTAGATAGTCTTATATTGAAATAATAAACTGATTCTGCAAGACTAGCAGTTTCAGGAATGTGACAAGACTTCGAAAAATTAAAGTAAATTGTATTGGACCAGACTATTTGCTACATTTGAGATGTAATGTTTTGTAATATCTTATGTTTTTTCCTAATTTCTTAAAAACTTCGAGGAAAAAAATAGGCAAAAATAAAAATTCAGCAGAACAATTTAGAGAAATTGAAATTAGCAGAGGAAAATTGCAGCTCTGTTGGAAAATTTTTATTTCTGTGAAAAATCAGAAAAGTCATGTCCCTGCACTGTTTTCACTCAACCCATTGAGAACCGCTCACCTCTATTGCTAGGTCTTACAGGAAAAAATACCAAAACCTGTAATATCAATTTGGTCTGCCCATGGTAAGAGAAGTCACTTTTAATATTTAAGACTTAATGACTAAACTTCTAACTAACTGTACTAACTCTAACAGGCTAAAACTCCATTTTCGCGTATTTTATTTGCCGCTCCACATTCACCTCCGGATGAGCGTATTTTATTATAAACACAACCGAAACTCAAAAAAACTTTAGGAAAACACTAGGATTAGAGCTAGATCTACTTATTTTATGAAATGAATGTGAGTTTTAATTAGAAAAGGTAAAAAAAACAATATAAAAAAGCATTAGGACAGTTCCAATTAAATAGCGTGTGATCTGATCGTCAGCAGGAGAAAAAGCCCTACACGGTTGAGGGTTCACCGTGAGTTCATATTGACTTTAATTATCAGCATACGTCATAGTTTGGGCAATAGCTATTTGAAAAAGTGTTGGCCTCAGTTTTGGGGTCAATGTGAGTTCATAAAAGTTTATTTATAGTATCATGCGTGGGAGATACTTGTAACAATACAAACTTAACCGTCTTGCAATCGTGTGTTTGTACTTCACACATTGCCATGAATATCTTAACTGACACACTAACATAGCACATTCAATATTTCAAATTTGGAATTCTTCTTAAGATTTGACTAAAGTAAATTATCAAAACCAAACTTCATAAAGAAATAAGCCCAATGTTTTCTTATGTTTTGGTTGTGTTTATAATAAAATAGGCTCAAAAGGAGGTGAACGGGAAGCGGGGAATAAAATGCGCTAAAATGGAGTTTTACCCTCTAGCAGTAGCATCACTCGGGCCTCAATCTTCTAATAATATCACCACAATTTAGATCTAAAACTGATGTAGACTCTGAAAAGGCCTCAATAAAAATGTTACAATACAGATCCCTTCTAGGGATCTAGTCTTTTAGTTGCTAGAAAACTGAATCTCATCTTAAAACAAAATAAAGTTTTAAAAGGGGGTGAATTGTGTGAATAATTTTCTTCTGTAATTTTAATAGGCCTACTAACTTGAGGGTGGTTTTACAGTTGATTTTTTATTAAGTTTAATAATATGTCATTTATAGATCTATATCAATACACTAAATTATGAGTATCAGTTAGGCTACAATTAATCAAAGTTTGAGATAATAGTTGTGACACGAATGCGACAGCACGAAAATACCGAGAAGTGGCAGAGAGTTCATGGATCACCAGTCTCACCGGCGAAAATCTCTTTATATTACTTTAAATAGGCTGTTTAAATGTAATAAATCGTGCATATTAAGGAGATATCTTTTTAGCGTTTTACCTTGGGGTATAAATTTTACGATAAATTTAATTTCATTGACCAGTTAATCTAAAATGTTCTAAAATTCTGTTTTCTCTTTGGGAAGACCGCCATTTTCTTTCTCAGTACAAGTTTACTTCACATACGCATGCGCACCATGCTGCTCATGCAGGAACACGGCTCATCATACAGCCGCAAAGTTCGTACAAACTTGTAGGTAATTTGGCCTAATTGATCCATATGCCTAACATGCTAATAAAATGAGTTATGCGTTATTTTTCTATATCGATCGAGATTCATATAAAATTAAAGTCTAGCTATAGACCTATACAAGAAGTACGACTGTTTAATAAAAATACAGCTTTTTAAAATGTTTCAGCCCGCAGCATTGGCTCTTGATGAACACTTAAAGCGGTTGAGGCCTAGCTTCTATCAGTCTAAGCGCCCCATTAAACATTCAACCCAGGTGGGGGCGTGGAATGCGGTCCGCACCGGCTGACACTATTTGGGGGTAACACCACAAAGAAAGATCGTAATATTTCTGTCTGAACCACGTTTTGTCCAGTTAATCTAGTAAAATAGTAGGGAGAGAAGGGTGACACTAAACCGAAAACGTTATACTGTTGGAGGAGGGGGGGGGGGGTGACACTCTCAGTTACCGCACCGGATGACACCCGACCTAGTGACGCCACTGTTTGTACCTTAACTTTTTTTAAATTATATCTTGGAGCTTCACCTCCCTCTTTCAGTTAACTCCCCTCAAAGAATGCCTTAAAGAAACTCTGCTCCTGGCTTGATGATACTAAGGATTACCGTATAAACTCTGTTATATTTAGGTTAGGTTAGGTTGAATTATTTGTGCACAGTCGCCAATAACATATAATAAAGAACAACAACAAATAATAATAATAATAATAAAAACAGTAATAATAATAATAATAAATATTAATTCGCGTTTCTAAAAGACATTTATTTATATAAACAGTTATTGAAATTGATTAATAAATAGGCTACTCAATGTTGATTAAGTTAAATGAATATTTAGAAAGAAATCAAATAAGTGTTTTAAATTTTAAACAAAAAGAACAACAGTTAACGCATTTAAAAAAAAAAGGTTGGTTGAATTTTTTAGGACGAAAAAGACATTTAGATTAAGTAAACAAAGTCTGAACTGGCAGCGCCAATGGCCGATAACGATACCCTAGCCTAGATTGGAGAGTTTGGAAGTCTGATTGAGAGGAGTATAGTCAACGTGGAGCAAAAAAAAAAAAATATATATATCAGAAAACCAATCAAATTTGAGTTGGTTTTTTAAAATGGTATTTGATTTTACTTATTTCAGCGCCGACTGCATGACCAGGGACCTGCCTGATGTACCCCCCCCCCCCCCCCCCAACTGGATAATTAATAGTTTGGAAGGGGTCGCTGCACTTTTGATAAGGTTGCTGGAATGTGGTAAAAATGGCTGAAATAACACAACGACCCTTTAGAGCACGGGTTCCCAACCTGGGGGTCGCGACCCCCCTGGGGGTCGCGAAGGTCTTTCTGGGGGGTCGCCAACTGGTATACTGAACCTTAGTAATTTGAAACAAAACATAAATATTTAAAAGAATTTTTGAAATTCGGCTTCATTAACATCACTTGAAATGTAATAGAGAAGAAACAAAGCGCACTGTACAAAGTTGTTATCAGTCACGAATCTATGAAATCTTCAAAACTAAAACGTCATTTGAGACGAGTCATTCGGAGCACACCAAAAAATATATGGAGTTCTTTCGTCGGTAAGAAGCTAGTTGCAAACGCCAGAGACTTGATCGAACAGGAAGTTTTCACCAGCATTAGTGCAAGCATCAAATGAAGTCGCGATAGAAAATGCCAAGCAAAAAAAAAACAATAGGAGAAAATCTCATCAAACGCTGCATGTACGTAAATGTTAAATAACACATTTTTTATTGAAATTAAGCTTTCACCATTGTTTGCTTTTCAAGTTGATAAATCAACAGACGTGAGTTCGTGTTCGCAGTTGCTGGTCTGTGTATATATTCATGCGGATGATAGTAAAGAAGAGTTGCTCTTTTTGTGAAGATAGCACGGAGAAAATAAATACCTTTTTTGAAACTGGATGATTAAAATGGGTTAGAACGGCTGTGGGGGTTTGTACCGATGGTGCGCCATCTATTTTTAGCTCAAAATCGGGCTTTCAGAAAAGATTTAGCTGCCTAACCACTGCCCTAACCAATCGACATCAAGAGTCCATTGCTAGTATAAGTCGTAAATTATATAAAATCTGGAGCCTTCAAAGAACTGAGCAAAAACATTAATATAGATCACGAGGTTCTGCTCTTCTACACTTCAGTACGCTGGCTGTCAAACGAAATGTTGTAAATTGTGTTTTTGAATTGAAATCAGAAATCCAATTGTTCTTGGAAGTGCATAGGAAACAAGATTTGTTGGTATACTTAAAACGACATAGAGTGGTTGGAGAGAGTATCATACCTAGCAGATGTATTCGAACATCAAGATAAGCTTAACCTGAAACTTCAGAGAAAATGAACGAATATTATAACTTTCCATGATAATCTCGGGGCATTTTTATCAAAGCTGCAAAATCAGTAAAGAAAATAAATCTTGGAAATATTGTAAATTTGAGAAACTCTGCGGTGTGGTAGATGAATCTGATTGTGAGATAATTACAATTTTGAAAGAAGCGATTTCTGGGCATCTTGAATCTCTTGAAAACGAACTGCATCGCTATTTCTCTGAGCTGATAAAAGAAGAATCTGCATTGACGCATTACCCATTCTCTTCTTCCCTTGATGTCGCCAGCATTCCCGATGAATTACAAGATGAATTTTTTGATTTGCAGAATGATTCCGAGTAAGCTGAAAAACTGCAGACACAATTTTGGTGTGGTATTCACCATTCATACCCAAACGTAAAATTGATTGACTTTTCGAGAATATATTTTCAACACTATTCTTCGATTAAATACAAAATTAAGATAATTATAATGACATAGGTTGGCGTTAACAAATTTTTTAAAAAATTAAAAACTTAACCACGAATAGTATGCAATTTTACTCATGCTATTAAAACAGTTATCAAGAGTAGTTCATATTGAAAGTCTACTAGAAAATCTTATTTTATTGCTTATTAATTTCCATACTAATTTCGGGTTTTTAATTCTATGGGGGTCGCGGGTCACTTACTTTTTATAAAAGGGGGTCGCCACTCGAAAAAGGTTGGGAACCACTGCTTTAGAGTTTGTATATACGAACATTTTATCTTGTGAATAGACTATCCCAGTACTCTCATCGCATCACTCAAAAAAGGGAATATAATTTTTTAAATGAATGTCTGAAATATATAGGTTAATAAACCGGGAGTGATCTCCCCTAAACTTTCTCGAATATTCTTATATAAAATAACAGGGGATGGGAACTCGGGCTATAGACATGATTTTTAATCCATTTTAAATACTAAAAGTTTTAAAAATAGAATAAAATCTCGTAGACAAATTAATTGCACACCAAGTGAACGCCAAATAAAAAAGCGCATAATAGTGCGCAATATTATTAGTACTTTTAAAATTTACATTAGTTTTTTGAGAAATCGGAAGTAGCGTAAAGTACTACTTCCAGTCAACGGAAATTACTCAAAATTTAACAGAAGGTAGAGAATTAGATCTTTTACTTACATGTGAAATTTCATTTATCTATCTGAAATAGTACTCAAGTTATAGGCTTTTGAAAAATTCAAAGTAGGAAAAGTACCACTTCCGGTTATCGGAAATCGCTCAAAAGTTGATACGGATCTACGATTTTGATAAAATACTTATATATGAAATTTCATCAACCTAGCTGTAACGGTACTCAAGTTATCGTGTTTACACACGGACACACAGACAGACAGACAGACACACAGACAGACACACAGACATACGGACAAGATTGCAAAATTATGTTTTTCCGTATCAGTGAGGTGTAAAACGTCGAGATTTGTAAAAATCTCGATTTTTTTTTTGCACGATCACAAGACTTTCTCTATACTTCGTATATACGAGAAAGTAAAAAAGGTATCAAAATGTATACATATTTTACAAGAATCGGGGTTATAGCTATAGATTGATCTAGGAAGAGAAATTTGAGGCTTAGTTCCCTCACCATAAGTTCCCTCACCCCTCACCTTGATCCCCACACCCCTCACCTTAATTAGCTCACCTCTCACCTTCCCTCACCTTAAGTTCCCTCACCCCTCACATTAAGTTCCCTCATCCCTCACTTTAAGTTCCCTCACACTTCAAAGTTTCCTCACCCCTCACCTTAATTCCCTCACCCCTCACCTTCCCTCGCCCTTCACCTTAAGTTCCCTCACCCCTCACATTAAGTTCCCTCACCCTCACTTTAAGTTCCCTCACACTTCAAAGTTTCCTCAACCCTCACCTTAATTCCCTCACCTTAATTCTCTCATCGCTCACATTAAGTTCCCTCACCCTTCACCTTAAATTCCCTCATCCCTCACATTAAGTTCCATCACCCCTCACCTTAAGTTCCCTCACACCTCAACTTAATTACCTCACCCCTCACCTTAGGTTCCCTCACCCCTCAACTTAATTACCTCACCCCTCACCTTAGGTTCCCTCACCCCTCACCTTAAGTTCCCTTGCCTCGCACGCTTTTCTTTATAGTAATTTAAATAGTAGTGTATAATTTATTTTCTACTTTTTAGTGCATTATTACATAAAAGCTTGTTATTAAAACGTTTTTTTATGAAAAAAAATTTGCTAATCGATCCGTCTCTGACATGTCCACGAATCTACTTTAGACAAGACACATGGGGCAAATGAAGTAGAGTTCATCTGTTTGACCTCAGCATACAGTTGGATAGTGAGGTCAGCTCTTTGCCCAGCCGCCTTAAAATCTACGTCAGACACCCATCAGATCTGGATGTACTCAGGGACGTCCGATAAACTCGAGCTCTGGATTCGAACTCGAATCAAGTTAGCAGTACTTAGCTTTACCATTCGACCACGCTGCCCTTTAAACGTAGTTGATAGTTCTTGGATTCTACTTTGATCTGCAGTACTAAACCCATTTCTTATCTCCGTAGATATAACGTGAACTCACAAAATGAT